AACTTGAGATACGTACATAAGTAATCGGTTGCTCATTAAATAAAAAATTCTAAAATGGAGGCCTGGATCACTGAAGCTCGAGTTGTGGATCCGTTGCCTTAAGACGAACTTTCGGTCGCACTTAAACGCGAACAATTCCTCGCGTGGTTCGTACTTCGAATTATTCTCCTGGTCTCGGCTATAAATCCCCAAACCGTAAACCGTGGCGTGTGCGCGTCCATAAAAAATTTAACTATGCCACTGTGGTCGTGACTTTACTCTCCGCGAGTGCCGTGAGTACCGCGCAGCTGTGCAACTTTTTATTCACAGTCCATGCCCACCGCCGACCATTCATTTCTTGGACCATCAACAAGGACCGACCATTCGCCTCGGAAATGTTACCTTCAGGAACACCCGAAGAATTCTTTCTCGCCTCGCCTCAGAAGCGAATTGCAACTATATCCGCAACTGGTGAAATTTCATTCTTTTATAACATTCTTCTTTTGTTCTTCGCGACTGTAAAGCTGAAAAATAGACAGAAAGTGGACGAGATAAACAATGGAGACAAAAACGGCGATGAGTATTTTGATGCTTTTTTCTTCATTTTTGAGCGTGTATCAAACGTTGGAATATTGAATAATGCGTTCTCGATATTTCTCATACACAAGTAAGAATTTATATACGTATAAAACATTTTTGCTACGTTATAATGACTACATATTATTTAAATATGAATTTATGAAGTTGTAAGAAATTACATTCTCGAGTTATTGCATTGCTGTTGATATTTAATATAACTAAACTATGTTTACTTATCAATTTCCAACAAAATTAATATTGACTTTCACAGTGGTATACATTAGTCACTAATGCCCATTAAATACAACTACATTCATTACTTAATGCACCAATATTTCTTTATGAAATATACACATCGTCATTTTGCATTCCCAATCGGAAAATATCAGTAGCAGTGTAGATTCGCAAAATATTAGCATTTCATGAAAACACATTACAATTTATCGAATCGTATTTGGATGCATGTGTATAATCAGAGAACTGAAAATATTTCCATTACCGTAGCATTATTACATTCAAATACATTCATGGGATTTTAAATTTAGATATGTTGATTCTCCCTTGCAATCTCCATCAAATTTCCATTTTGTCAAAATACGAACTTTGTTTTTTAACTTTCTCTGTATTCCCATATATTGCTTATATATACTTTTATTAAACTTTCCGCAGGCTACAATTGACATAAATCGAATTAATCGACATTTAATCATCGTATAATCTAGACGCGAATAAATATATGTAACAACTTTTAAAATTCTTATCAGTAAGAATAAAATTAGTTAATTACCGAGTTCATTAAAGTAAATGTTAAATACGTGACTTCGTGCAAGGGCAGTGCATTTTTCGTGATTTTTTTTCGCGCTGACGAGTGGAGTACGTGCTTTCCGATGTGGAAAGCCGTGAAGTTGTTTACGCCGTTGTCCTGCGATTCGCGCTCGTGTTTTCCACGGAGAGGATCGGGATAATGGACGATATTTCCGGGGAACTTCGCAATCCCGGATCTCTCACCGGAACGCAGGGACCAACGAACATCACCCTCGCGAAATTTCCATGGCGCGAATTAAATGCGGTTCTCTGAACCGGAAGTGGATAACGAATCCGTCAACACAAAAAACTGCGCCGGCTGCTCCTGCGCCGGTAGGTCGGTTCGCTCGTTTTTATGCGTAATGAAAGATAAGCGCGTCGCTCGAGAAAAAGAGATATAATGGCATCGAATCGTATGAAGATTTGACAGTAAGCAGATATCTCTGCGATGAAATTGAGATAATATGTGACAGCTGTAATTCGAGATAAACATTACGGGCGTAATGCATATGGAATTTAATGCTGTACATTAATTTAAGCGAATTAACAGGATCAATCAGAATTCATTTTGCTTTATATATTGCAAAATATATGCGTATATTTCTCGCTAAATCAATAATTTGCATATTTACATACGTCTCTGCGTTTTTGAAAATTAATTTACGCGCCGGAGAATCGAATTACGCGTTTTTAGCTATCATACAATATATTATGCAAAGAATTGTATTATCTGCGAAATATAATTCGATTATCGGCTAGAGCACTATGATACCGCCGACTCATTTAATCACGGATACGGTTGGCGCGGTAGCGAGTGGATAACCGATAAACTTCGGGAGGCCAATAACCATGGTGCAACGAACCGTCCGCCTTGCATTAAAAGCTTTGACCTTGCACTCGGCGGAGAGAAAAATTTATTCATGCACACGTCGGAGAAGTTTTCTACATGCACGCGCCCGCGCGCTTCGGAACAGCCTCGCCCACACACGCGGGACGGGTCACACCCATTTAATTTCGCGGTTTTCTCTTCTTTCATCTTCCCTTCTCGGGTTTCTTCAGCCGTCGCTGTAATCACCTCTGTCTTCCGCTCTCCATCCACACCACCTTCCAATCCACGCCGCGATTCGCGTGCTCCTCCCTTCTGGTCCTCATTATGCGCCATTTATTCTTTGCGCTCTCGTCGCGCTCGTCGGCTGCAAAACGCAGAAAGATACAGTCGCCCGATCGTATTTCATGCGACTTTTTATTATATTCTCTGCCGATGTAATCATATAGGATATTTTTCGATCTTTTTTACACGATGAATATTGTAAAATTTTAGAAGAATAAAAGTATTTTATTTAATTGTGCAAAAGTATATTCTGTATTTTTTGTTTTTTATCTTGGGATTATTTAGTTCAAATCTGAAATTCTGATTTTTCTTTCTTCTTATCTACAATAGTTTTGAGAAGGAAAAAAGAAAAAAAAAATAATATATATATATATGTATATATATATTTCAGAGTAGATAAAAATTAATATAAAAAAATCAATTATTTTTGATAATATAAGTTCGAAAAAATTGAATGAAATAGATATATAAGTTGTTGAGATATAATATCGTGATATCGAGTTTCTTTTACATATTTTCGGAAAATTTCATGTTTGTCACGTGTGTGTTGATCGAAAAAATCGTGTGCTTATCGCGCATTCTCTTTTGCCATGCAAGCCGCGTACGAAGGGAAGTCGACTGCAACAAATGTAATTTTCCTCGGGCAAATTGCAATTTTGCACTGGATCGAAATTCACAGAATAGTGTGCGACTCTGTAATCAAAATATAAATTATTTAATATTTTTGCAATATTCTTAGATTGAGTTTCGAGAGAATTTGCGATATTGCAGAGTGCGATGATACCAGATATTTAAATAAAATGAGTGCACGCACGCGATGAATCACATTGATTATTATATATTGCATATTATAAATTCCAGTTTATTTCCAATAGCACGCTATATTACGCAAATATTTTATTATGTTGTTTTGACATGTGTGACTTTATATTTCACTTGGCTTTTCATTGCGGGGATAATCGTCACACATAAAAAAAAGCACGGAAACATTCCGCGCAATCTGTCGGCTCTCGTGCGGCAAAATACTCGGCGTTCCCGTGTATTCTTATGTGGAATGCGGCTCGCGTACACAAACGAGGGAATCACAAGAACGGAAAGGAGAAATGCGGAGATAAAGGGTGCGATGCATTAGAGCGGAGGGAGACCTTCACATTTCTTGGCAACGTAAAACGATGTTATGTCGTTCTGTGCCAGACCCACAGTTGGCTGTAGCCAACCAAGGAGGCCGCGGCCCTCGTTTCTATTTTCAATTTTCCTGAAATTCGTATTATAAATCGGGCGGGTGTTGACATTAAAGCAAAAGGATGTATAGTAATATTGTTTCGCCGGTCGAAGTCTGCGAAAAATTAGAGAAAATTATGTAAATCGTTTATCTTGGGACCGTCGTGATTTCCAGACTTGAGAATATGTGCTGAAATTGATGTATCGCGATTATCGTTCATAAATAAGTAAGTCGCATAACAGAAAGTATAAGGGATAATGGTCCCCAGTGACTAACCTATGCCCCTCTTGGATCAAAATCTATGGACGTCCTTGTTTGGGCTCGTGCCAAAGCTACTTTCACTTCGAATCGGCGCTCTGCCGGTGCTCGATCAACGTCCTGTGTCGACGATCATCCTTCGTACCTGCGCCTGATATGCACACATGCGCCTGGCACGACCATCGGGTACGCGATTATCGAATTACGTCAATATCCCTCGACATTTCTGCCAGCATTCGCGACGTAACGACGCGACAAGCGGAACATCCTTCGCTCTCCTGAATTCTAATGACGTTAAAGTTAATTCACTTCTTTTCATAAAGAGTAGCGTTTTCGCGTCTACCGAAGGTGAACGCGCTTTTGAGAAAATCTTCTCTGAGCGCAATTACTGCTCAAATGAAATTGCCCGAATGAGAAGCCTTTCGGTTAATGCTCGTCTGTGAGAGCCAAATTTTGTATTATATTAAATTTACGTTAAATAAGATACCATCTTCTACATAAATTCTTAGGTTATTAAAGTTTTTCGAAATATTAATATATTTTATACCGGAGGTATCTTCGATCTGGGCAAGAGTTTTCTCTGATCTTGCTGAAACAAAGTTTACGTTGAGCCGGAGCAAAAAGTTCATCCAGTGTCCAAGCGAGTATAAGCAACTAACGAAGATTCCGGCGTTGAAACTAAAGCTCGTTGATTACTTTCCCGGGCAGTAAGACGGACGAAAACTTGTTGATTACTTTCTTGAACGCTTCTTTAAGCAGTCGTAAAATGTTTTTTACCTTGTTTTTTATTTTGTTACGTACAGTAATTCTTCTTTACATAAATTTCCCCATTGTGTATCTAGTTAACACCCTATATATTTTTAATTACGCCAAGCTAAACATATACTTTATACTACGCTTACTTAGCCATATTGCGTTTATTATACATTAGGTATATATTTAATGCGGAACAAGCGAATCCACTTTCAACTCTTAACAACTCTCGCAAGTTTTCGTTTATCTCTTGATGCGAATTTCTCTTTAATTTTTTCTTTCTTTATTTTACAGCAACGGCGACGAGGTGACAACGAAGGACGGTGACGCACGAAGCCAACAATTGACTGAAAATGGCCAAGAGCGCTGAAAGATTACCCGGTAGTTCTACCAGACTTAGGACCAGGGACGACGGTTGCTGTTCCGTGAATTTCTTGAAATACGTTCTTCACATTTATAACGTGGTGCTGTTCGTAAGTACCGTCTATTTATTTTAACATTCACGAACGGGAGAGAATGGGATGTTTTATTTCGAAACGCGTTTACGGGCGCGCGTACGTAAATGAAAGACTGCGAACCGTGAAAATCGCTGTCCCACTTCATAAGAGCATCTGTCCTGCTCGGCGGTCTTCCTTGCACTCTGCAATGGAGCTACTTCAATCAAAGACTTTTTTTTACGTCTGGTTTATGTAGTCGTGGAGTTTCCATCGCTCGCTCGTCCCACGAGATTCTTGCGAATAAAACACTAAACTCTTACTTAACGCTAACACCGTGAATTACGTAAAACCTATTAGAGCTCGACGTTTTCGATGTTTCGGAATAGTACATTCAGATAGTCAAATATCAACAATGTAGATTGACGGCAAATTTGATGAAATTTAATCAAAATAATAGATTAAATCGATCCGATTGATATTGGCAATTCGATCAGTTTTGTTGTCAATTTAACAAGGTTGTTAACATTTCGTTCACTAAGTGTTCAAAGTGAAAAGTCAAATTTAAACTTTACAAAAGTTATTGCGATACGTTAAATTTCACTTTAAATGTAGATGTCTCAGGAAATGGGAATTCTTTTACACGTGACCTTTGATATTCTATTACACCTCGATTGATTTGGGAAATGGGATTGTCGGAAAACGCGTCTGCGCTTAAGAGTTGAGGAATGTGTGTCAAAGGAAATACGATAGCGGCGAAACATCCCGTATAACGCTTTGATGGCGAACGTTGGAAGCGATCGTCTCTAAAAGAGGTGAAAAAGTGCGCCATCGTCCGCCAATTATTTCCGTCTTGCTTCCGCTTTCGCAATTTACGGGAGATTAAAGTGGCAGACGGATTGCTCGTTGTTACGAGGCACGTTCAACGTAAAGACGAGTTGTTCTTCGCCGGGCTCGGTCATTGGATATTCGGTGTGCTTTTGCAATCGCCGTGTACTTACTGTAGTCAACACGCGCGCAATTATTCGCCTTTAATTGTTATCGCGAATATCACGTGCCGATGCTTTTAGCGTGGGTCGAATTAACAGGCGGAACGAATCGTCGTGCTAATGTGCCGCGTACGCTGCGAGGACTTTTCGAATTCGCGAACGGGGGACGTTTCTCTGATCGCGCGCGCATGTCCTCGACCCCTTAAAGGAACGTGCTTTATCGTATGTGGGACGGAGAGAGGCACTGTAGCACTGAAATATGAGACGAGAAATAATCTCGAGATGTTTGTGCAATAACTGCGTACGCGGGGAATAATTGGAGCGCGTAAGAGAGCGAATATTGCGCCGGAAGAACGACGCTGTGCATTAATCGAAAGAGATGCTTTGTGCTCGTACGCGGCTAATTAAATAATAATTTTACGCGAGAATAATCGTATAATGTTCCGCGAGTCATTAATTTTGTATGGTAAATTAACGCTAATCGCTTCGACGAGGGCAATCAATAGATCTGTAATAATAATTCTATAGAATATATAATACTACAAAAATCACGCACACTCGGATTATTATGGAATTATGCATGTGGACGTGCGAGAGACGTTCGTACGGATGACGAGTTTTTTTATTTTTCGCGAAAAATGCGACACCTGCTCTATAGAACAATCCTTTTTCCTCCGAGCGATTCTCTCTCCCTTTTTCTCTCGTATTCTTGATATTACAAAAAGGTAGAGTGCCGACATCGACGCACGCGGTGATACATGCCGTAAAATGCTAATAAAGTCCTCGTCGTAAAGTGCAGACACCTTGTACGTTGTCTGGAATATAAGTGCGAGCAACGAACGGCGGCGCGGCCAGGGCGAGACGTTTTAAAGTGCGGAACGAGAGGGAAGAGAAAAAAGTGAAATAGGAGAAAATTGATGCGGTAGCCCGCACCTACAAGGTTTATAATTTGGGTCTCGAGTGTCGGCGCCTCGTTAAGAAGCGTGGACTTTGCGATTGAATAGGCGAGGATCCCGAACGACCGGTGAGATTGCGGGTACGAGTTCGGGGAGTTGTCTTACTTCTTTTTTTTTTAGAATTCTACTCATGGGATTCATTTTAGCTTCCTCACACTCGCCGAATACTGATCGCCGAAACTTTTAATGAAGATCTTTATCTTTTTTAATTAAAAATTGGCGAATTTTGCGTTGTGCAGATTTGTGAGAGAAAAAGGAGGCACAGCTCTAAAAATACAGTAATCGCGCGTAAGTTTCGGATACTAGCGACTTTGTTTCCCTCGACGTACGAAATTAGCACGCAAACATTATCAGCATTCCTGCGAGACGAAATAGGTTCGAGATATTTTAACGATATATATCCTTCATCCTTTGGTATTATTTCATATCACGCGAGCGTGCAAATCCCCGACTGTCAGCGATGCGCATTCCTCTCACTCGTCCGCGTTTGTGCAGCGACGTAAGTCGCGCTGAATGCGCGGCCTTAAATGTCTGCTGCTCGTAATAAGGCTCAATAATGCGAGCATAATGTAACAATAACCTGCTCGGAACAATGCTGGTGCAACAATGCCGGCCGCTTAACACGTGCGTTTACGCCCATTGATTGCATTCAGAGAAGTGCAGTCACTGCCAGGCCAAAGTCAGTAGATTCAATGTTACCACGGTAGATGCACCGGCGGGACGGTAAGTGCATAATTGTAGAAACCCTTGTGCAGATACTTGGAACAAGCCGAGAGATTGCGCGAGGAATGGTTTCGCAGCAACAAAGATACATTCGCAAAAGGAATTAACGAGAAATGTAATTTCTTTTTTCAAGAACACGATGCTCAAATTTACTACAATTATGCACATACGTTTGTAATTAGTCTAATATACAGTATTTACTGAAATAATTACAACATTTTTAAAGCAGTTATGTTGTCGAGGCAAACAATTCTCGGCATCAATAATGTTCGCATCACGGCTGGTATAAAGAATTTTTTAATTAAATATCTTAATTAAAAAAAAAAAAAGGTACATCTCGATTAAAAAATTGCACTTTAATTAAATTAATTCCATGTGTACGCTGAAGTATTCCAATGTAACCGTAATAACATTTGAATTAGAATTTTTGCCGGGCGCGAGGGGAATGCGAGCCGAGTTTTCACGGAAATTTTTTTCTCGAGATATTATAGTAAAGAGGTAATGAAGTAATTACCGCAAGTTTTTTGCGACTTCATTCCATTAGAGAGTGGTAATTACATTACGTACGAAAAGTGGTTAGTTGCTCTCTTTCTGCTTGTGTGTCCCCGATTATATATAATGAATCGTTCGGGCAATGATCTAATTAATCAGGAAAAGTTGGAAAGTTTGTTGGACTTAAATAAGATACAGTTTAGAGCTTAAAGTTTTTCCTGCACCTTGCAAAACTTTTAATGAGGTATAGAAAAAATTACATCAAAATTGTCGCGTAAATCCGTTCGGTGAAGTTTTCTTGCAAATGCTTAATAAAATAACTTTATACAGTTATATATTTTGCGGCAAATTGCCACATATATTAGTGTCGCGTTTTCTCTTTTCTTCTCTTTACGTTGCATCGAGCAAAATGTGTCTTTGAAGAATTTTTTATAAATCTTCTTTGAGATATATTTTATTCGCGTTGCGAATTTGCACGCGAGATTCTGCTAAATCCGGGCATGAGTAATAATGCAACAGTCCCGTATGTGTGCGAGGAAGTTCCCGTGGGGAATTGGGATACTCTCAGAACGGCTTAATTGTAATAATTAACCATATCGCAGGCAGCGTTGCTAATTACTGGTTAATAAGTATCTACGGCACTCAAATGAAGCGTTCGCTTCATTCTCTCGTCGCAATTTCTCTTACTCGACCTTAATGTCGCGCTCTAATTTGATTGACAGCTTTCAGAGAAATATGACGAGAGAGAGAGAGAGGGAGAGAGAATAATAGGTTTTTGCGTATCATATTGTAATAATATTTAATGCACTTTCAATTCTCTCCGATTATTAATTGCTACTTTATAAAATACGTTTACCAAGTTTATTAACTTTTAATTAGGTTTATTAATTCGGGTCATTAATTAAGTTTATTAATCATGTAAATTTTCACGAACTTATAATAATTCGATTAAAACTCTAAACGCGCAATCAATTAAATATATCGCGCAAAAGTTTATTGGCAGAGATAATAGTAATGATAATTAAACGCCAGCAAAGTTTTCACTTCAGAGCGACATTTTAATCTCAAACCAGCGAAATCAATGGGATCGTTCGCACCTGCTCGCGAAACTTCCTATCATTCTCTCATTCGCCTGCCGTCGACGAGAGGATCGTGCTGTTACTCACTTTGATCGTCAATTATGCTCGCGATTCGACTGTTGTCGGGTGATGAGACAGCGACGCATTCCCGGTACGTTCCCAGGAGTGCTTGCATTTCGTCGCACGCGCCGGGTGCGAGTGTAACGCACATACCGGCGTATCTCGATGCTGATAGAATGCAATCGGTGCACGTTCGCCGATCGGCGGCGGGGACGATCGCGAACATGCGCGCAACGCGGAGGAGCGCGGCACCGAAATCCCTTCCACGTGGCGGAGGAAACGTGTGTTGAATTATTTCGCATCCCGTCGCTTAATTACCGACCGTCGTGTCCTGTAACGTGCGTCGAATAACGCCATTTCTGCAGTGCCGAGATTATTCAATTCATTCGATTCGAACGGACATTGACTCTCTTGACTGAACGAGAATGCATGTGGAAAAGGTACTTGAAGACATGCGAGTAGCTGAGAAAAAAAAAACAGCACGTGTGACGAAAGACGAGAAAAGTATATTTCTAATATAAATTTCAAATTTGTTTTCAACATATTAGATCTGTAACGTTGCCAGCATAACAATAATTAGTGGCTCCCAAATGATATTTTCGTGATACGTAATTGTGAACATAAATCCCCAAATGAGCTATTATCGAGCTAATTACGTGGCGTGATTTAACTATCATATTTTATACAAACAGCATAAACTGTACGGGAACAATGTTACATTATCCCGTTAATAACATTGC